CCCAGTTACCATCTTGTGCAAAGACTTTCCCTCCTACCTATTTATATAGATATCCAAGTCTAAATAGAATCAAAATAACTTAAAAAATAATAAAACTTCAAGTGAAACATACAGGTGTGCAAGGTAGCCTGGTAAACAGACTTCAAAAGATGTCTCACAAGCTCCTCTTAACTCAGCCAGGGAAAGCAAACTTTGCAACAGTTCTGGACCAGCTCTTTTGAGCACAAAATCAAATTTCACCAAGAGCAATCCTCAGTCAACTCACACCGTAAGTTCACAGCTACTGCCAGCACCCAGCCCTTCATTTCCCACTCAATCTAATTATAAGACTACTCTCTCTTTTCTACCACAATTTGATTTTATTAAGATTATTTACCTTAATCACAACCTCAGGGAAAAGAACAAAAAGTTCAACCATGCTGCAAACTCCTGTCAACAGCTTTGACAGGTTTCTACTCTCTACCAACAACCCCTGACAGCAATACCAGTCATGAATGCACATTTAGGAAGGGAAAAAGGATACTTCACATATTAACGATGAAGGCAAAGCTATAAAGACTTGTATTGTGGTGGTGTTTCAGTATAAATCAATGGTTTTAAGACTTCCATGGCACACATAAATGAAATAACACATACATAGTGCCAGTTGTCACTACAAGAGAACTCTGCCTAGCTGAGGGAAAACTCAGCACCCATCATCACTTCAGAGCACTTGGTATGTGGGCAGGAGACAACTGCAGAGCAGCCCAAGCAGCTCATGGATGCTCACAGAGAAAGGTCTGACACCAAAACCTTCAGAAAAATCAGGCATTACTCTGACAGTCACTATAGCAAAATGTGCATTTCAGTCGTGTTATCCAGTAACAACCCAATAAACCACCATATCCAAGTGAAAGGAAAAAAATCTCAGAGGAGAACAGGAGTAGAAGTTTGTAAACCAATGCAAGAGACAAATCCAAGCACAGCATTTGTATGCAGAATGAGGCTGCAGCACACAAAGATGTTTTGAATAGTCGCTAAATTCATCACAGAACTGGGATGGTTTTTATACTCTTCAGAAGACAAGTAAGAGATATCATAAAATTCATTTGTAACAAGATTACCAAATAGTATTACCTAACCAAATGTTAAGTCACAGAAAATATGAAGAACCCGTTTTCATCTTGTTTCATAAAATAAAATAAATAAAATAAAATAAATACTATGAACCTGAAGCCCAAGGAGGGTAGTTTGATCAGTTCTTTTAAAGCACTCAAATTGTGGGAAAGCAAATAAATAAAATCAACCAGAGAAGATTATTTACATGGAAATATCAACTTCTCCTTCTCTACTTCATAATCCAAGAACAAAAGGTAGAAGTTAAGGTGAAACGCATATTACTGTTTCACGGGGTAACAAAACATTAGCCCCTCTTTAGCTCTTAGAATACTTAATCAGAAATAACAGGAACATTTGAGGCAGGAGGCTGAACAGCAGCATCGATAACTCATCTGTAACTCTTCATCTTCTGCATACTGAACAGTTTGCAGCCTCTAATTTTAAGTTAGTTCTGATTTCATATACCAGGAAGAAATAGTTTTGCATGACACAGAACCCTGTAAGATCCCAAATTCTCAGCTTAATAGTATATACTCCAAGTACAGCTTTTACCTTGTAAAAACTCATTCTTTTAAGGAGAAGATGAACCTCTAAAATAAAACTTCAGAAAATTTTACAGCAACTCATATTTGCTTTCATTTTGATAAGTTTGGCATTTAAAATATAACGTGTCCTCAGCAGTGTGAAAAACTCAATGCAGTTTAATTGCCTAATAAATTCTAGACAAATTCCCCAAAATTACACGGAATAGAATTACAAAACTGGTGGTGGTGAAGGGAATCGGGGCACCATTACAAAAGCATTCCAGCTAATTCAATTACTCCAGTGTCACCCATTACATCCCAAAGGTCCCTTCACTAAAAAGCCCAAACCAGGGGACACATCAAACACTGGCACTGACAGTTGCAAGCCAGTGACATCTCTCAGCAGACTGTGGAGCACCTGCACGTTCTGTGAGGCACGGGCTGACAGAGACATTCCACATGCAGCTGATACAAGGTGGCACAATGCAATCAACTGCTACTGCAGCTACCCAAACTTTTGCAACTAAGAGCAAAGCAAAGATACTTGGTTCACTTCAGTGATCTATAGCACTAACTTCGGGCACTGGAGGCTTGAATTTCTTGGTCATAAAAAGATGAAGCTCATCAGTACCTAGAACTGTACCAACGCTTTTAGTGCTCAACACTATGAACCCAAGTGACAATTTCTTTTTTCTTTGGGATAAGAACACTGAACAAACAGAGAAACAGAAAGCAAGTTTGCAGAAACTCTTGCTCAGTACCTAACATCCACTCCAAAGCAGCTGAAGAGCTTTTGAGAATCTTTAATTTAGCAATTACCTGAGCAAATTTTTACCTCCACTCAAAAACAACTGGAAATGGGCTACCCCTTTTAATTTCAATCCAAGTATTCTGCAAAGGTTGCAGTATTACACTAGGGATTGCAAGCATGTTCACACATCTTTCATGCATTCTCCTCTGCAGCAGGAACTACAACTTTCAGATCAAGCAAAGAAACACTAATGCAGAACAGAGGTCTCAAGCCTGCCACTTAGCACAAAACTACAAATGTCAGTCCTGATATCCTGAAACCCACTGAAATTGTTCTGTGGGTAACTAAAGATCCCAGCTGATTTAATTTCTCTTACTGTTCTTTTAATATCATAAAAGGGATAATCTACTGCCTGGCACTAGCACTCCCTTAGTAGTTCAGATATCTAAAGTATTTCAAGGAAATGAAAGAATAGCTCACTTTGCCTTGCTTTTGATTACAAATACAGTTAAATATAAATATGAAACTGTATATACTTACATGTGTACATATATAAAAGAAAAAAATCCTCGCAACACTAGAGTAGTCTCAGTACAAAAGACACCATTAACATAGATTTCCATGTTATTTGCACAAGAACTTAGCACCAGACACTTCCTTCATCAGAACGCCCGTCTCAAACTTTTAGAGACAAAGCACGAAGGATCAGAATGTGTTTTTAGGTGTTCTCTATGATCATGGAAAACTGAGTAATTTTAGTATTATTTCTTTCAAACTAAGCAACTTTCCCTGTGACCTACATGTTTTATTATTAGCATACACCCTTTGCTTACTTTGCAGCACAACAGACACCACCATTGAAGGAAGTGATATGGGATTATGAAATAGATGCTTTAGGGAGCTCTAAGAACTTTTTGTTTTGTTCATCTAATGTATTTGGAAGAGGGGTAAGGGAAAAAATAGATGTCCAATATGGGACCTCTCATATGAATTCTAGTTCTCCATGTGTAAAATACAAGGGCAGAATAAACAGATGAGCTCTGGCAATACTTTTAACAGAGGACATGAAGGCAGAGTTCTACTCTAACCCTTTGCCCCGCAGGCCACATCTGTGCACAGCAGGCAAGATCATCTCCAGAATTCTACAAAACAGTAAAATTACTTGAGCTTCACATGCAGAATTTCTTACTGAGAGCTACAGCAAACAAACTAGTTCATGGTCCAAATATCACATTTTTAAATTTGACATAAGAACAGTTCTGACTTTTTAAGCATGGAACATTCTCTGTATTCAGAGTAACATCTGAACAGCTTGTTAAGGACTGCTACCCAAATACAAATACAACAGTGAGTTGATCCCACACTAGTATTTCCAGCTTTCTGAGAAACTTGTTCTCTCATTCTCATCTGTCATCAACAAAGGAACACAGTTTAGACAACCAGTTTTATGTCAAAATAATAGAAATGGGGGTGTCAAAATTATTTTTGTTGTCATTTGTTCACATGTTTTCCATTGTTTTCATACGGTACTGTAATGCACTTATCTATGCAGAATTCAGGCCCCCTTCACAACATACACCATCTGCTATTGTACTGAGATGGAAAATAGACAAAGCCTTCCCTGATCTGAATGAATTTGCAAATTAAATCTGAGCATCAAGAAAGTTAGGGATTTTCTAAGGAGTTAATCCTGAGTGCTTTCACACAGACTGTATCAAACAAATTTTTTTCTAATTAACTTAGGCAGACAACCGAGCCAAACAACATGGCTGCATCATTTAGCCTGGATACAGCCGTGTTTCAAGCTATCTTATCATCTAACACTTAGACATAAGACAGCCCATTACCAATCAAAACTTATTTCAAGTGTGTTAGAAAATAAAGCACGCAGCCATCAAACTCTGGTACAGCTAAACAAGGCACAGCTGGTCCTTATTGATTCTTCACGCCACAATTCACAGGGAATACTTTGTTTTCTGCAGTTTCAAGAAATACGAGCATTTTAAAACGGGCTTTTCAGGCTCCAGTACTACAAAACAAAGTAAAATGGAAGCACTCTGAGATGTATGCGTGCATCTGTACACAGGGACCCAAAAAAACCATCACATCTCGACACGCGGTGTTCGCCCGTGCACACGTACACAAAGTCTGCACAACACACTGGGATGTTCTATATACGGGGAACACTTCGGCTGAAACTTTTCACGGCAAGTACCCGAGCGCTGCCCTGCTCCGGCCCCGTTAACACCTCGCTGCTCCCTGCCCGGTCCCTCCCCGGGCTCGGGGGGCGTGGGGCCACCACATCCAACCCCGGGCCTTTTCCCCGCCGGCGCCACCGCGCCCGGGGCGGCTCCTCCCGCACGATGCGAGCGCTTGGGTTTCTTTTCGCAAAGAAAGTTCTTACGGCGGGGAGAGGCCCGGCCGATCGCTGCTGAGCCCCCGCGTCCCGCGGGAGGAACGGGAGCGGCGCCGGGAAGCGGCCGCGGCCTGAGGCACGGACGGACGGCGCCGCTCCCCCCGGGCTGCCGCCTCCCGCAGCGGCGGGGCCGGCGCAGTCCCCGCTGCCCTCCCCGCCTCGTTCGGAGGAAAACAGGAACCCGACCGACCCCCCCGGCCCCGGGGCGCACCTGCGGGCCCCAGCGGCGGCCCGGGGCCGGGCTGCCCGTCCTCGCCGAAGATCAGCCTGAAGTCGAACTCGTCGGTGGCGCCGCAGTTTGCCGTAGTCATGGGTTTGGCCGGCGAGGCGCAGCGAGACCCCGTCGCCCCTCAGGGCCGCGCCGGGTCCCGCCGGGCTGCGCTCGCCCCTCAGGAGCGCCGCATAACACCGGGCGGCGGAGGGGCCGGAGGCGGGGCGGCGGCGCGAGCGGCGGCTGCGGCCCCAGCGCGAGCTCCGGTGCCCGGGCGCTTCTGTCACTCGGGGGGGGGCGGGCGCCTACTCCGGGCTGAGGCTGGACCCGCCCCCGCGCCGCGCCCCGGGCAGCGCCCCCCGCCCCGGCCCGCCCCGCCGGGCCCTCCCTCTTCTGTCCGTGCGTCCTCCGGCCGTCCCTCCCGCGGTGACGTCACGGCGCCGACAGCGCCCCGTGACCGCCGCCCGACTGAGAGACCGCCCGCTCTCCGGGCGCCGCGGGGCCTGCCGGGAGTTGTAGGCGGTGCTCGGCGCCCAATCGGGCGCGGCCAGCGGCGCGCGCGGGGCGGGGCCGTGCGCGGGGCGCGGTGCCACGTGTCGGTCCCGCCGCCGCCGGCAGCGCCCGCCCCGAGCTGAGCCCGCTCCCGCTCCGGACCCGCTCCGTGACCCCTCCTGCACAGCGCAGACGGCCCCACGCCAGAGCGAAGGAGCAGGATTTTCTTGCGGCGTGCGGAGCGTTACGTTCTAAAAGACCGCATGTGAATAGGTGGTGCTCTTGGCTCCAGCTAATGACTGGAATAATTAGGTGGGATGGCGTACGCTGAGGAATGCCGCTTGGGTAACAAATGCTGGCTCCGGGACTCAAAGCTGTTAGCTGCTTGCCTTCCGGCTCAGTGGGAACAGCGGCAGTCAGGCAAACACAGAACCACAGAATACTGAGCTGGAAGGGAGCCACAAGGACCCCGCAGCTCCTGGGCCTGCATAGGACACCCCAAGAACCCCAGCGTGTGTCTGAGCACCCTGTCCGAACACCCCCGGAACTCCGGCCGGTCTGGGGCTGTGAGCGCTTCCTTCGGGAGCCCCTTCAGTGCCCAGCCCATTCCTGTGCCCAGCCCATTCCGGTGCCCAGCCCGTTCGGTGCCCAGCCCATTCCAATGCCCGGGCCGTTCAGTGACCAGCCCCTTCAGTGACCAGCCCCTTCAGTGACCAGCCCGTTCCATGCCCAGCCCATTCCGGTGCCCAGCCCGTTCTGTGCCCAGCCCATTTCAATGCCCGGCCCGTTCAGTGCCCAGCCCCTTACAGTGCCCAGCCCGTTCAGTGCCCAGCCCATTCAGTGCCCAGCCCGTTCCCGTGCCCAGCCCATTCAGTGCCCAGCCCCTTACAGTGCCCAGCCCGTTCAGTGCCCAGCCCATTCAGTGCCCAGCCCGTTCCTGTGCCCAGCCCGTGCCCAGCCACCCTGGCTTGCACTGTGGCACTTCTCATGCCCTTCACTTTCTGGTCACCACAGCTGCTGCACCAAGTCTGTAGAACTGCACAGAATTCTCCTCTGAAAGCAATTCCAGAAAGAATTTTAAAGCATGGAATAGTGTCTTCTCAGTCTTGCATTTTGCGAGATCTGCATCTAAAAGTTTTTAACTATAAGGAAAATAATTAAAATATTCCTTAGCAATGTATGCCATCAATGAAGGGAGCCCAGCAGTCAGCAGAGAGATCACAGAAGCTTCAGGATGCTCTGCCTGCACGATAACATACCAGAATCTATAGTTTTGCCTTGCACTAAGATGAAAAGACAAAAAGGAGGGCAAAATAAACCAGAACTTGCTCTTGCAGCATGAGCATCTGTTCCCTGCAGGAGATGGCAGTACAGAAACTCTGACTGTCCTGATGTGGCTGGAATTTGCACTCTAAGAAATCATAGTACAACTTGAGGGAGCTTAATGCTTGAGTCCTGTGTCCAGTTCTGGGCCCCTCACTTCAAGAAAGACATTGAGGTGCTGGAGCATGTCCAGAGAACGGCAGGGAATTGGTGAAGGGTCTGGAGCACAGGTCCTGTGAGGAGAGGCTGGGGAAGCTGGGGTTTAGCCTGGAGAGGGGGAGGCTCAGGGGTGACTTTATCCCTTTTCTATAACTCCCAGGTGGGGGTCAGCCTCTTCCCGCAGGCAATCAGCAACAGGATGACAGGACATGGTCTTCAGCTATGCCAGGAGAGGTTCAGGTTGGACATCAGGAAGAATTTCTCCATGGAAAGGATTGTCAGGCATGGGAAGGGGCTGCCCAGGGAGATGGTGGAGTCATCATTCCTGGAGTGTCCAAGGAATGACTGGACTTAATGAAATAGTCACTGTGTGCTGTGGAATAAATAAAATATTAATCCTTAATACATATGACCTAGGAAGATTTTAGGTTTGAGCTGAAACTTTGAAATTGATGGGATTTAAACTACTACTCACAAATAGTCAAGTTTGCTTACAGCCAGTTATGTAATATTCACAGTTTAATTTGAAACTCATATTAACCAGAAATATCATCACTATCTCTAAGGCTTCATTACTCAGTTGAAAAATCATCTGAACTAGTTAGTGTGTTGTGACTCTATGGCCATCTCCAGGTTAATATTGTTTGATTCTAAAAAAATTCCAATTGTTTCTATGCACAGGGTCTTTCCATATTTGTTGCTGTTTAGGCAGATCCCAACAGGTGTGTCATAACCCCAGGCATGCATTTGTACCTGGATGTTCTCATTAGAGCCTGTGAATGAAAGTGAGACAAGAAGGCTCACGTGAAGAGGAATTAGCCACAGTGAATAATCCTCAGTCCAGAGGCTCTTAACAGAGTGCAGTGAATTCTCTGTGAATTCTCTCTCTCTGTGCACTTCTGAGGAAGGTCAGTAATCTGTGCTGAAGAGAGCAAGCCTAAATGAAAAGCTACTTTGTGACATTGCAGTTCTAGAGGAAACAGAACACATAATATTAAAAAATACTTTGCAGAACTTGGGACAGCAGGAGTTTGCCCAAGTTTGCCCAAAATGGGAAGTTGCTTCTAGTGCAAAAGCAGCCATATGTTTTTTACTTATCTTGTAAAGCACTGTCCTTGCCATTATCACTTCCCACACACCACCAGCTATTTCTTTACTGAAAATACATGAGCAGCTACAGCTACTGTTCTTACAACACTTAAACCAAAGATTCATGCTCTCTTAGGGTAGACAATTCCCTTTTCTAAAGGAAGCCTGAACCTTTATAAGGAGCTCACAGCCAGTTGGCCTGTAGCCTCTTTTTATCTCTAAATCCAAGGTCACGTAGCAAGACAAGCTGGAAAACTATGTGTAATTGGATTAACTGAGGTTAAGAAAAACCCTCATACATTCTTGAATGAAAACAGATCTTCGATGAACCAGTCAGTAAAATACACTATACATAAAATTACTTTTAACAGCTAATTTTTGTCTAAAAACTTTGGGGTAATCTTTTGCTTTTCAAAGCAGCTGAGTTAGACTTTGTCTTATTGTTAAATAATTGTTGTGTCAGATTACAGCAAATGGAGCAACCACAGCAGTTTCCTGTTCTGTTATACCAGTAGATTGTTCATTATGCACGTCCCCAGTGAAAAATACAATCAAACTTGTTCTCTTCATAAGGGTGGACTTGAACACAAGTATTTGATCCATGTTCTTTGATAAGATGCTCAGACTATATTTCTAATGATTATGCTAAATTAAAGATTTTAATATTAATGACTTGTTAATTTCCCTTGACTGTGAAGTAAATCTTGTCTCCTCTTTTTCTCGTCTCCACTATTCATTCAGAAAGCTATAATATAAGCAGGATATTAAGTATTGCTTTTAGTCTTACTGACTGCTGTCAATTGAAAAAGAAAATAGACTATATGTCCTAAAATAAACAGAGCAATTGGTTATGACATGACCACCTAGCTAACAAGGTAAGAATTTAGAGAACATGTAAAAGGTAAAGTGGTAAGTTATTTACAGTAAGCTTTATAAAGCTTTTAGAGAACATGTAAAAGGTAAAGTGGTAAGTTATTTACAGTAAGCTTTATAAAGCTTTTTACTTCAAAAGCAGATGTATGTCTTTGAGTTCTGTTCTTCCATTGCCAACATCATTCTTTCTTGTTATCTTGCCTTCACCATAGCTTTCATTTTGCTAACTCTGTTGTATTGCACCAGAAAGCACATCCTTTCTGCATCTGAAACTAAAGAGAAATACACCTTCAAACCTCTTCTACACAGCTAAAGAGCAATTGGGGTGTGGCTGGGAGGGAGTTGGTAAAACAACTGACGTGAGTGAGCTCACATCAATTTCCAGAGAATTATGTCAACCTCTGTGCTTGAGGTCCAGGGCATGGATGGCTGATTTGGCTTTTGTTGGCTACTGAGAAATGAAACGGTGGCAGTAACAAGGGCAACTTTATTTCACTTGTGGTTTCGTGAGGAGAAGTTTCCTTTATTTATTCATTTATTTAATATGCATAGGTGGTTTCTGTCCTTGTTGCTTCTAGGCTGTGTTATTGCATCCAGATGGGGATACACCTTGATCTGGTCAGGAGCTGGAGTTATTGCATGTGACTGGAGAAGGAAGGAACGTGCTTCCTGTGGTATTTGAATCCTTTCCAGACTGTGGCTATTTTTTAGGCGTGTTGTGACTTTCGGCTCCAAAAACCTGAGGGCTACATTGTGCTGTGTTTTATTTTCCACACATCATCCGATGCTGGATAGCTAGGAATTCTGGATCTGCAGCCACATCCCAGATCTGTATTTGTGTTGGAGTAATAGGGATTCCTCCCCCCTTCCTATGGGCAGCAAATCAAAGCCAGCTGAGCAATTGTAGCCAGAATAGGCTTTGCAAGACGCATGGTCAGGCATTCGTTCTGCATGATTCAACCAACCAAACAGCCTCGAATTAGGAATATAACACAGAAGGTTGCATTTCTTGTGCTTGATCTCATTCCCATTTGTGGTTGAATCTGGACCTGTTTAAAAGCCCCACACAGCAGCGTGGCATAGAAAGGGCAGATGAGAAAGCACAGAGAGAGACTCCTGGACTGAGCAGATAGTGTTCCTTGGCTGCAGCTACGGTTATGCCTTTTACAACTGCTATTGAAGAAAGCATGAGTACAACAAGGGACATTTTTTGCTC